CCTCCCCAGTATCCTCCTCCCGGAAACCGTCCTGAATGCCCAGCCAGACTCCGGGCTCCCACACTGAGCCTCTCTGTGCCTCCCTCCCCAACCTGGGAGACAGATGCTTTAGAAAACTCCCTTTGGTGTGGCTGCTGTGGGCAGAAGAGGGGGCCGAGAGCATGGGGAGAGACGGTCAGTTCGGGAACTGTGCAGGAGGTAGAGGAAATAAGAACTGGTGACTGGATTTGGAAGCAGGGAAGGAGGAGCCCCAGAGGACTCCTGAGCTCCTGGATGAGTGACCCAGGAGAGCTGGGTCCGCGGAGAGACACCATGAGTCTAAGGTGTCAGAGAGAAGTGCCCAGGAAGCAGGTGGCCATGGGAATTTGGACCTTGGACGCCATGGTCATGGGACTAGCTGAGGTCTCCCAGGGGAGAGAGGCCTGAGTCCTGGAAAACCCCAGGCCTCAAGGATGGGCAACCAGCCAAGCAGACAGGGTGAGCACAGCCAGAGAGCAGGGAGCAAGTAGGAGCGTGGGGTGTGGGAGCCCAAGGAGAGAGAGAGCATCGAGCATTATCAGTAAAGCCGTGGCCTCCGCTCAGCCATGCTCTTCAACATTGGCTCAAACGATGCTGGGGCTAGAGATGCCCCCAAATAAAAACAGCCCCTGGTAGACGCCCCCTGGATCCCTAATGGATCAAATCCCATCCCCTGTGGGACAGGGCAGAGCCCATGACAGGCTTCCAGGGCCAAGCCCTCACCTTTGGGGTCTACCTGGGCCAGGTAGGTGATGACGCAGCTCTTGGGCCCCGTGCTCTGGATGAGGTAGCCCGTCTGGATGGACACAGCTCGGACCAAGTCTTTGCGAGGTGGGTATTTCTGGGGATGGAAGGTACAGGGAGGTAAGACTCGGGCTTCACTGCAATGGATACAAGAGCCCAGAGAGGTAGCAGAGAGAATATTAATTCAGATAACATATACCCTGAAAGGAGAAAAGACTCATTAAATTGAGCACCTACTGCATGCCAGTGTTGAGCAATTTATTTCTTTTACCAGCTTCCTCACTCTTCTGTAGAAGACAAACATCACCACCCCAGGTGATGGATCCGGGACACTGAGCTGCCCTGCCGGGGCTTGACGACAGGGTGTCCCTCCGGCAGCAGAGGGCGCCTGGGAGCCGCATACAACTAGAGAGCATTGTTGGCGTCGCTAAGGCCTTAGGTAGCTGCAAGCAAGGGCCAGGGGGTGGGAGCCCACCCTGCCTGTCCGCACCGACCTGAGCGCCTCAAAATAACCTGGGGGACGGGCTTGACTCCCAGGATTCTGACGACACCGACCTGTACTCCCGGCTCTCCTCCTTCCGGGCCTGCCGTCCCCATCTCAGCTC